AATAGTCTTCATAAGTAGTCTTCATTTGCTGTTTGTGTATTGTACAAATATGGTACTTTACATTCTGAAAATTAAACACAATTACTGTGCATTGCATATTTAGAATGAAAATGCAAGTAAGATGAAGATAAGATGTTTACTCAAGACAGTTTTGTGCATCAAATGGATAGATAATGAATGCTGTCAAACGTTTTATCTATGTAAAGACAAAGTGGTTTGTCACAATTTTTACAACTTGCAAAATATCATATAACAATCTTGATAAATTTCATTTACTTCTTTTTTATGTTTTTTTTTTATTCTATTTTTAACAAATTGCTACTAAACTGAAGAGGAAGAAGGCAGATTCAAGTCACAGACAACTCAGACACTTATCTCAAGAAGCTGTAAGAACTACCTAAGAGAAAAAACATTATCTTTCCCTATTTTTGCCCCTTTTTTACTGTATTTACAATAGGTTTTTAAATATTTCTTTCAGCATTTAAAAAAAATGCCTATATGAGAGTGAAAAAATATAAATTTAAAATAAAGTTTAAATGAAATCTGTTTTGAGAAATGTTCATGCTACAAAGAAAATTAAACAAAGCATAAAGAAAAATCAAAACTAAAATGTCCAGAAAAAAAAAGACATCTCCAAAATTCACTAGAACAAGAGTAACTTCATATAGCTATGCTAGATAACATTCCTGTGAAATAATTTTATATATATATATTTATATGTAATAAACCACATTTGATAAACTGTAATTGTGAAGGAAAGAGGATTATTACAATGATTTAAAATACATTAAAGAAAAGGAAAAATATGCAACATGGGTGTATAAGGAAGAATGACTGGAGGCCTCAATTTCATGTTTCAAAGTCTAATTTTTTTAATATATCTGTGGCAATAGAAGAGATCTTTCTAAAAGGTATCTATACAACAATAAAAGAACTTTTATTATTGCTTGATACTGCTTAATGATGAACATTACCTGTTTACCACCAGGGTACTTTTGGCAGCAGGTTTTATGTCTAGTCATAAAATTAATGAAAAACAAATATATAATATCAGTGCTTCAGTAAATTGACTATTCCATCACTTTTCAAAATGACCTACTACATTTTTATGGAAGAGTTCCTTGCTCATGCAACTTTTCATTACTTTTTCCCTTGTATTTACTTAAAGACTGGGATTCAGGAAACAAATAACTAATCTAAGACTCTGAGGAACTAGTCTAGGGCTATTCCAAAAGTAATATATATCAGTGTTTTGGATACTGGTTACTGTAACATCTTTATTTACTTTTCCTTCAAGTTCTCCTTTCCCCCTATTATTCTAACTGCTACCTAGAGTGAGACAGATTAAAACACCTCAGGAGGAATTAATCAGCATTCTGACATCATTACAACATTACTTGATTACTGACATGAATCTCCACTTGCTGCATATTTTCCTGCTCATAATCCATAGCACCATCTAACATAGACCATATACATCATGTTCTACCACTTGGCTTCTGCTCTATATTTGGGTTTCCAGGATGGCTGCAGGAAGTCAGAGCTTAATAATTACTAAAAATTGCTGTATGTCCACTTCTTGCAATTACTCATTTATTTCAGTCAATCATCCTCCTCTATTTGTGGACTTCTGTATAATATTACATGACTAAATATGGCTAATCCAAATTAGAGAAGTCAGTGTGATGATAATAATGGGTAAAGTGAATGGAACATTGTCAGCAGCACATACCCACAATCTATTAATGCATCCCATTCTCAGACATACTGAGAAAGTGTGTTTCTTATATGTGCCCTTAAATTAAAATAATAAATAAGTAAAGGTGTGTGGAAAAAGAGATTTAAATTATTTTAATTTGTCTAGGAAATTAAAATTACAAATCCATCTAACTTTGATACTTTCCTCTCTATCCATTTAGTACTATGCTGCATTAATTTCTCACATCAGGCAAAATTTCAGGGAAGATAATTATAGAAGAGACTTCAAAACCAACTTAGCATGCTAGGCTACATTTTATGTGATGAGCCATATAACCTTCAAATGCTTTCATAATATTTGCACTTAGCCACTATTTTATATGCTAGTTAATAAATTACTAATTTGTCTAGCTCATCTAAATATTTGCAACGGTTTCACATTTGGTAGCAAACATCAGGAAGTATTAAAAATTCATCATTGTGAATTTCAACCATCCATATCAGTCTTTCAGTGAAGAAAGTTGTGGGAGAAAAAAACAATTGCTAATTCCTTAGGAGAGATAATACAGTATCAGCATCACCTCCCAGCCCAGGCTCACTTTATGAACTCAGTTACTCTTCAAAGCAAGCAAAGAGCAGTCAGGTCTCCTGAATGGACGTGTGGAAACAGGATTCATTGGGCATAAAAGCTAGTCAAGAACACAGCAGGATCACAAGGGGGATGAGCTGAACAGATGCAAGCTGAGACAGCACAGCTGCAGAGCCTGGGTTGCTGGGAATACATATTGCATCAGCTGTAACACAGGCTCCTGCTATGCAGCTGCTCCTCTGCCATACCAGCCCATCCTCAAAGCAGTTTTGTCTGCTGTAAATGTGTAAAAGCCCTGCTAGTTTTCAGTCAGAGATTGCAGCAACAGAGGGCTGAACTCTGTTGCTGTGTGTTTTCTCCTGCTGCTACAGAAATGAACTGCTTCTGCCCTACCTGAATCTGCAAAATAGGCTGTGTCTTGATGTGGTAATGGTTCTTTGCCTCATGCTGTCATCCTAAATATTTCTGTATTTTTATTGAGAAACAGATATTAATAGTAAATGAGAACAAATACAGCTGCACCCAAATTGGATTTATTATTGGGCCATTTCCTACCTGAATCCTTGTGTTTATTGTAATTTGTCATAAGTAAGAGGAAATTTGTATTTTATCATCCAAAGGCAATGTTCTCTGCACATCCCTGACTAACATTTAGCTACAAAATTGTTTATAACTGCTAAAAGGACAAAAATAATCTGCAGCTACTTCAAGAATATATATATATATATATATATATATATATATATATACATATATATATATATACATACATACATATATATATATATGCATACATATATATATATATGTACTGGTTCTTTCATCAACAATTTCTTATTGCCATAGAATCATTGAACAGTTTGGTATTGAAGGGACCTTCAAACACAAAAGAGCATCTAGTTCCAAATCCTGAGCCACAATATTGATACCTTTCACTGGAACACATTGCTCAAAGCTTTATCTAGCCTGGCCTTGAACACTTCCAGGCATGGGGCAATTTCTCTGGGCAACATGTGCCAATGTCTCACCACCATCCCCAGCAACCAATCACTTCCTAATGTCTGATCTGAACCTACAATCTCAGTTTAAAGTCATTACCCCTTGTGCTATGACTACACGCCCTTGTAAAGCTGTCACCAGCTCTCTTGTTGGCTCCTTTAGGTATTGGAAGGTGGGTTATTATAAGGTCTCCCTGGAGCCCTTTTTTCTCTGTGCTGAACAGTCCCAGGTCTCTCAGCCTGCCTTCACAGGAGAGGTGCTCCAGCACTCTGATCAAATTTGTGGCCCTCCTCTAGACTCACTCCAGAATGGGGTCATTATGGGATCCCAGAAATAGATTCAGTACTCCATGGGGGGCCTCAAGAAAATGGAGTTGAAGGGCAGAATCACAGAGTCACAGAGTTGCACAATAAGCTGAGTTGGAAGGGCCCCACAAGGACCATCCAGTCCAACTCCTGGCCCTGCACAGGACATCCCCAAGAGTCACACCATGTGCCTGAGTGTATTTTCCAAACACTTTTTGAACTCAGACAGACTTTGTGATGTAACCACTTCCCCGGGAAGGCTCTTCCAGTGCCCAATCACCCTCTGGGTGAAGAATCTTTTCCTGATATCTGATCTAAACCTCCCCTGACACAGCTTCATTTCAAAAGCATGAACCTGCCCGACTTGCTTGTCATATTTCTCTTGATGCCACCCATTTATTTTCACACAGGCACAGATGTCATACATTCTAATCACTGGTACAACCTGATGGGAAAAAAACATTCCATGGAATATTGTAAACAATATTGTCACAGCTATTTAGTGAAACAACTTCAATAACAGCACCTAGAAAAAGAGTTGTGAAATACTAAAGATATAATTTTATACTATACTTTTTAAAAGTACAGTTTATTTTATATTAGAACGAGTGTTTCTGAAGGTATTGTCTTCAGTCTAAATATGGACGTGAAAATTTAAATGCTGTGGAATTGTTAGTGAATATAACAAAAAAAATTTATAAAGTCTTTTTGAGTATATAAAGTTTTAATATAGTGAGAATTTTAGTTCAAATATTTGGTTTCATTCCATTCAAGAAATCAGTGGATTAAATTTTCCAGAAATGAAGCCACAACCTATCATCATAACTCTTATTCCAAACAAATAACAACAAAATCCTTTAATAAATTTTCCAATTCTTCCTACTTCATAGAAAAAGGGGGGTAATTTTACCTTTCTTTATCTGTTTACAAACTAGCAATCTAGTTGAAGCTAGTTATCTTTTTTCTCTAGAAGACTTAAAAATTTCTGCATTGAAGACCCATGAATCATCATTACTATCCCAGACATTTACTTAGGGATCGAATACACTGCATATCAAACCGCCTTTTATCAAAGGTTAAAAAACCTGACAGAATTATTTGACTTATAAAGGAAAAACAAATTCTAGAAATCTATAACTAAGGCATATTACTACCATTATAGGTTTTTTTTTGCTAAATTTCTTTCTGAAAATTATAATAATTTTGAACAAAGAATGTACCCAAAACTCAATTTCTTTTCTCTAAATGTATCATGCTTTTCCTTAAATATCAGTAGTAGCAAAATCTTGGCAATATTTCTTGACTGATTTAGACATCCCCCACCAATCTTGGAATAGAAAGTTATGTCACCATTTTCTGACAAAGAAAATATGAATTATAAATCATAAAAAACAAATGCCCAATAATACCTTTGTTGTTATCCATTCCTCCAACAGCATAAAGCGTTCCAACTGTAGATTTTCTAGGCTTAGTTCTTGGACTTTGCATGAGAGTTCTTCTTTCTGGTAAAAGATGATATTTCATGGCTTCCAGAATAAGCTTCTGACATTCTAGGTCATCCTTAAAAAGTGCATGATTTTCCAGGTCAGCCAATATCTGTGAATGACAGTAGTGAATAAAACATCCTAGAAATTCCTAGAAAAGCAATAATATGCAATGAGAGACAAACACAAATGGATGTCACAAGTCTATTTCTTCATTCGAGAACACAGTTTTGCAGGTTTTTTTTTTTTTCTTGGAACACAGAGAGAAAATTAAATAGTTGATTTTTAAAGGATTTTAAGGCCAGTGTTTCACCAGCCCTTAAGACTACAGTCTTACCAATCTTTTACTGAAGGCTTTGAAAAAAAACTAAATATTGTAGTTGACTTATTTTTAATGGTTTCCAGCACAACACTGAAAGAACCCAGAAGGCATCTCTTTGCAGGAGCATCCCTTATTTTTAAAACCAAACAAAAACAGTGTTCCCACCTGAAAACCAACAATGTTCACTGCACACAGGTAAAAGAATATTCTATTGTGATTCCAAAGAAGGAGGCTGCAAGTTGTAAATGTTGCATTTGATTCACTTGCCTATATGCATGTATCTACCAGATTTTGAGATGTTGTAAATGACCATGTAAGTTTTCAAGATCCCATAGAATTATGCAATCTGGGTTAACCTCACAACTGACCTAGCTCTGAGCGGGAGCTGAACTGAGCTCTCCTGAGGTCTGCTCCCACCTGAATGATTCTCTGATTCTGTGATCTCACTGATGTCAGGCCAGAAGAGTGCAACGCTCATGCAGATTTTGTGCCATATCTGCCAGACCCATATGAGTATATCAGACAATATAAGACATCCCAATTAGTGCAGGATTTAATTGCATATAACAGCATATCTGTACATTGCAGTAAATTTCTAGATATCATAGAACATTATCTGGGAGATCAAATAATAGTCAGAGAAGCAGCTAAAGGCTAGCAAGCAGAAGCAGCTCATTCCTGGAGTCTAAGGATGTCTTCCCACAGACATATATATGCAATCATATGCAAATTGTTTTGCAGTTGCCTAAATAGAGGAAGCTAGATTCCTTTTAAGAGCTCTCAGCTATTTCATCTGGACTTCAATGGCTGCAGAAGAAGCTTGAATGTCCTTCGTCAATCTGTCAGATTTTGGCAGATAACACATTTTCTGTGACATCTGAAATATTAACAGCTGGCACATGTATACAGCTGTTATCTGCTTCTGATTTTAGGCATTAGTCATGAAATGAATTGATGGTTGAAAGAAAGGCAATAGATAGATGTTACAGACCCCAGTATCAACACAGGCTGGGGATGAACAGCCCTGCTGAGAAGGGCTTGGGGGTGCTGATGGATGAAAGGCTGGACATGACCCAGCCATGGGCACTCCCAGCCCAGAGAGCCAAACTGTCCTGGGCTGCATCCAAAGCTCTGTGGGCAGCAGGGACAGGGAGGGGATTCTGCCCCTCTGCTCTGCTCTGACCCCACCTGCAGGGCTGCATCAGCTCTGGGGTCCCAGCATAGGACCTGTTGAAGTAAGTCCAGAGGAGAGCCACCAAGATGTTTAGAGGAATGGAACAGCTCTCCCATGAGGAAAGACTGAGAGAATTGGGATTGTTCAGCCTGGAAAAGAGAAGGCTTTGGAGTGACTTAATTGCAGTCTTCCAGTACCGGAAGTGAATTTACAGGAATTATGAAGAAAGACTCTTTACAAGAGCATGCAGTGACAGGACTAGGGGGAATGGTTTCAAATTAGAAGAGTAGCTTTAAATTAGATATAAGGCAAATTTTTTTTTTTTTTCTCTGAGAGTGGTGAGGCACTGGAACAGGTTGTCCTGTTTCAGAGAAATTGTGGATGCCACACCCATGGAGGTGTAAAAATGCAGGAGTTGGGAGGAAATGGCTTGTTTCCTCTAACTCAGGGTTTGCCTCTTAAGGTCCCCACAGAGGTGGTCAAGGCCAGGCTGAATGGGACTTTGAGCTACCTGATCTAGTGGAAAGTGCACCTGCCCTTGGTATGGGGGCTGGAACAAGATGATATGCAAGGGTCCTGACAACACAAACCACTCTATGAATCTATGACAAAGGTTTTTGTGTATTTGTGTGTGCCTGTTCTGGTTATTATTCAATTAATATTACTAAATAAGAATATTAAAAGTATGTTTATAAACAGGCGTGATAGGCATATTTAATAACACTAGGTTATTTTTCTATCTCATAATCTTAAGATTTCTGTTATATTCTTTTTGTGATTTTTCTTTTTCTTTACAGTGTTCAGCACTCTGCTCAGCAGACTAGAAAATCAAAGATCTGAAGACAAATCATGTCCAAATTTTAGGTAGGATGACTGCAAAATGATTTAACACACATTTAGGACTACAGAACCAAACAGAGTACCCTGTCAACATGAACTAAATAGAATACAGGCACAAGAGAGCTAAGAAATCAAATTACCAGTTTTCTCTGCACAAATTTGAGGTAATATTAAGTTACATAGACTTTCTAATGCTTAATAGAATTAATGAAATTGATGACAAAGGTTTTAATGGCAAGCCTATTATATTAGTCAGGATCAAAGTCCAACAATAATATCAGTGATTTCTTTTTAGACCATTACTCCTTTACTCAGAAATGCTTAGGCTCTAAAAGCAAATATTTATCTTTGAAATCTTTCGACTGAGTTGCCAGGTGTTTCAAATGAAGAAGAAATAATCTGTGAACCCCGTTCTTTCCCAAAATTCTGAGATTTAATTCTGAGACTTAATTCACCAACCACAAATAAAAGCTGGATCTCTTTTTCTTTCAAGTTAGAAATTCACCTTAAAAATGAATAGAAAATGGAAAAAGAACAACAAAAAAAATTCAAATAAAATTTTAAATTGGACAGAAACATTTGTTCATGTCCCTTAAAAAAAATTAATCATTCCTTCTATTAAATTTTTTAGAATATGGGCTAACTTGTGAAAAGCAATGTATTTCTGAATCTCCTAAAGACTAGAAGTTTTGAATACAAAAAATAAATTAAATTGAAGCTACTATTTAGAAATCAGAAGTTATATAAAGCTGTTTCATGTTTTCTAAATTTCAGTAATCTGTGTCAAAGTTTTTCTACTCCATAGTTATCTTTCCTGATTATGTCACAACAATCAATATATTTTTATTAAATCAGGATGCACTTGATCAGGAAATTCATTTAATAAGGATGTTTCCCTGGAAACCATATTATGCTCAGCTTGCTCATCCATGTCTATGACATAATTCATTAAGAAAGAATTGTGTCTAATACTAACTGAATATTGCTGGGCTTTGTAATGTGGAAATTTGCAGAGCTGTACCTTCTCAAAAGACTACAGTATCAGTGCCAGCTTAGTTAACTTTACCATTACTAGAACGTCTCAGACTAGCAATATCCTGAGAATTTTTTCTCACTTTTTGTCATCATGTTTCTCATTTTTTCCCAATTAAAACCTCCAAAAAGTCCTTTCTTAGATGTACTTCCAAATGACTTCTAGCACCATGCTGCAGAGAGCCCGCACGTTCTCAATGAAACACACCCAGTTTGAGATCTGGAGTGTAAAGCACTCAAGTACCGCCAAAAGGAAAATGTCTAATGAGAAAAAAGGAGTAGTTGGGTACTGGTTCAGTGACCGACTGTGGGTGCCCCACAGGACTGCACCAATTGCTGCCTGCCTTGCTCTTACCCTCAGCTGCCCCCTTCCTTCCTTCCTTCCTTCCTTCCTTGATGAGCAGCTCTGCATTTCTTGCTTCCTGACAGATCTCCCCCAGCCTCTCTGTTATCCCAGTGATTTGCAGCTATGATTGTGGGAATCTGAATACTTTATTTGAATGACCTTAAGCAAAGTCGCACAAATTCTACGTAATCGATCACGTGAGAGATGGAACTGGTCCCTTTCTACCCTGTGTCATCTAAGATGAAATTCAGCCACCACTAGGAAAACAGTTTCCACCTACCTGGAAAGAAAAAGACCAATTTTGTCCTTTACTCCACTCTTGGGAGACACTACAAGGCAATGGAAGAAGCAAAGAGCTGCCTCACCAAAGATTCTGTAGTGACTTTATACTTCTGAAGAGGCAAAGAACACCCCCTGTTTATTGAGATAAAACTTTCTATCTTGTGAAAAGTGCAATGTATGACGATATTCACTCAGTCAAGATGAACTAACCTCAGATTCCACCTTGATAGGTGCCTCAGACACAGTAATTGACCAAAAGGGGAGATGATGAAAGCACCATCAGATTTCTACCACTAAAATGAAAAACCATTAGGTATTTCCTCCAGGACAGATCAGGGCTATAAAAGTGAAAAAATTGAGAAAGTATTCTCTGCGTGCCAAAATTAGGTACTCAGCACATGCAAAAATTTTAATCTGTAATCCAAGAGATTGATATTTCCAAAAGAGGGACAGCATCATTCAAAATTATGCATTATGTGGTCTGTATCTGCCCATGAGTGTCTATTATGATTTAGAATCTTGAATAGTCATTAAAAACATATAATTATTCTGTGCACCACAGATTAGGAATAAATTTCATACCCAAACATATTAATTTTTTCACAAGAAGAAAGCAACTTCCAATTCTCTAAAAATTACCACAGTATCTAGATACATTTTCCCTCTGAAAAACCCTAAAGAGTTCTGTGCCATTAGAAACTTACATGCCAATGTCACACAGAACAGGATTATCTTAATAGTATTAATAATTATAACAGAAGAACAAAAAGTTAAAAATCCTCTAAATGCATTGTGAACAAATGAAATGTGGATTTTCATGGTACATTTCATTTTAAAAAAGTCCACAAGTCTCTTCCTTGATCCAAAATATATCCCAAGTCACTTGACAACCTTGAGTCAGAGAATCACATTACCATATGAAACAAAATCCTAAAGAATTAATGACCTAAAGTTTGCATTTTGAATGTTTTTCAAGAGAGAAGTTTGATTAGCCATCATTGTCCTTTTATGAGTCTTCTTCCACGTACAGATTTGTTACAGCTGGTTATTGTTGATGATCACAGTAATGCTGCTGCTAGGAAAGAACAGAATTCTGAAATGTAAGGTCATGATTGT